CAGATTGAGCGAGAAGAAAATAAAGACACATGTCCTCCCGAAAAAGATAGAATATTTTTAGCAGCTCATTCAAATTGCACACCCTCTCCGGAGACCTTTCAGACTTACTGTTGTTTATAATATAATCAGCTTGTTTCCGTGCTTGTGAACAATTTCGTGCTGCACCGATTTAAAAATAGATTTCGCCGTTTGAGCCCAGGTTCTACATCAGTTAAATGGAAATTAACAAAGTTTTAATTTTTAAGTGGGTGGATGATCAGCAATCTTTATAGGTATAATTTTCTTTAAAACTTTATTTTGTGAAAAAGAAAAATAAAAGATACTGTCCAGAGTCATACAGAAATCATTATTTTTTACATTCTTCTATCTCGTAAGAATATAACTGATGTAAATTTTTCAAATTTTTTGGATTGTTTTGATCATCTCACTTATCAACTTGTTTACTTTTAAACCATCTACCTATCTAAAAGTTAAATCCTAAGTTGATTAATGCTTGATTTATGCTTCGGTCTTAATCCTAATATCCTAAAATTCAGCCAATGAATACAGATTTCAAATAGGATCATTAAGACTGCCTATTGGTTGAATTTTAGGATTAAGACCGAAGCATAAACCAAACATAATATGTTTATCACCTCATCATGGTGTCTACACTCTTCGAAAGCGAGAGATCCCCAATGATCTCTCTAAGAAAAGGTCTGGAATGAATGGACTACGGATTTGCTAGAGTCCAAGGACCTCTGCAGCTAGAGCGAACTAGGTGCCGAAAGACTTAGAGCAAGTCGACAGTCTGAGATGACAGGATCTGTCGGAAGAAGAGTCCAAAATTGCAACAAGAGACGAGGAGAGAAAGAGAGAGAGAAAAAAGGAACACGAAGGTGCTGATGCCAGGGCTACGCCCGCCAGCGAGTGCAAAGTGCTAAGTTCCTCGTAGTCGCAAGGCAAGGGTGGAGCCCATTATTAATGCGGGCCTAGGTCACGGGCGGCGGAATGTCTCTTCGGCTGCTAGCCGCGGCTGGTTAGTTCGTAAGAAGGCCAGTGGCCGCGCTCTCGCGTTCACTATAAATAATCCGAGTGCGCGGGTATGTCCAAGTATAGCCTGTTGGGAGTGTGCCAGCCTCAGCGAGGAGGCCTCAGCTATTTTTGCGGGCTGTCGCTGCCACCAGCGCTACAACGTGCGACGGATTCTGATCGCGACTGCCGATCTGGTCTCTCGCTCCTGATAGATTATCTATACGAGCAAATCGTGGGTATTCCTTTGATCTTCTCCTCTGTCTGTTCCTCTCCACTTTCCTTCTCTTCAAACCGATATCTGTCTCATGATCTTCTCTCTCTCGAGATCTTTCTCGTGTTGTGACCTTGAGCGGCTCCGCTGCCAGATCGATTATGTCAATGCCGAGCCTCCACAGATTACGTGATCCAAGAGGGAAACAGGAGGAACCAGATGAGAAAAGCGGAGAGGATGGAGGAAGGGGAATTGCCAATTTTGGCAAGTTAGACTCACGTGCCGGTTTCACGGTCAGCCGAGAAACGAGGACTCCGAGACTCGATTAATATGCGGATGACTCTTGCATGGTTTTGCGTGTTACCGGATGCACGCTGATACGCGGATATTTTTATTACTGCTCTTGAATTCATATTGAATTGCAATAAAACAATAGACGATGTCGTGAAGTAGACGATATCGTAAAGTAGATACAGCAACGATACAGCAACTCAATCTCTTGAGTTAAAAAAAATAACGTTTTGTTTTAACTTTCATCATGTGTGAAAATGTCATTCAATCCACACGTGTGATTATATAATGTTAAAACAATGTAATTAATGCACTTAATAAAAAATAAACTAAATTGAGTCCTAAATGAGATGAATAAATTAAACTTGAGTCCAATTTAATAAATTTTCTTGAATTAAACTGTTTAACTCAATTGTTTAGTTATAAATTAACAACATATTGAGTTGGTGCAGTTGCGACTATAGAAATAGTTACAAATAATTCAAATAATTTGACATTAAGAAACATAAATCTAATTTAATAGAGCTCTCAATCATTATTAAAAAAATAATATTAAAATAAAGCCGGGCAAATAAGAGCTGTTACGAAACATTGATATATTTATTAATAATAAACAATAATTGCTACAGTAATATACACAAACAAGTGTAACAGCTCTCCTTTGTTTTAATATTATTTTTAACATTATGAATTTAATAGAGTGCAACAATGAGAATATATATATAT